TTTGTGATGATTATTATTGTAGCGATTAAAAATAAAACATGGTAAAAATGTTTCTGAATTAAAAAGTATCCTTTGGAGACTGATATTATTAGGAGAACAATATTATTTTAGACATTTGAAGAAATTGAATTGCATGAAAATAATGTTTGACTTAACATCCCTTTAAACTAATAAAGGTTGACATAAAGAATTAGCAGGCCAAGTGTTTATAACTTTATATGTAAACATAAGATAGATCTGAATATTTAGTTCATTATAAAGAAATACCCCAGGCATAATTGATTCATAGGCAAATATACTATTGAAAGTAGAATTTAGGTTGTGTGGCATTGTTAAAGTTGTGTTGACACATCAGATTGGAAAGCGTGTGTAAACAGGGATAGGGTAACTTATGTCAATAAGTTTGTGTGAAAGTCTTTGTATATATTTGTTGGTTGTTGTGAATGTCCTGAATTCTCAACAACTTCAGTAGAATTGTGCTTCGTCGTTATTCAGATAAGTACTGTTCTGTGTAGAAATGGTGTGTGGCGGAGGTAAGACTAGAACCTGATTCCTTGTGATAAAATGGCTAACAGCTTTTTCGTTGAATTATAATGGACCATTCAAATACTACCTGATTATGGGGGTGAGGTCATCTGAGATTTATTCAGTTTAAAATTGAATGTAAGAAATCAATTCTTTAAGGAACCAAAAGAAATGATATTATAATGTACCCGGTACATGTAAATTTTATGTATGACCCAGTATTTGATGGTGGACAGTGATTAAGGTTTGTAGGCTGTAATTTATAATCATCAGATTTCTCTGCTTACCCATAGTGTACAGGGGTTTTAAATGACTATAGAGCACTCATGCAGAGAAAAGAATTCCATTCTCCAATAATTCACAAAGTTAGCTTTGTATGGTAAAACCACCGACATGCTTTCAAAAATATTCCATTCTCCGATATTTTACAAAGGTGGCCTTATACATATTGGTAAAACCCACCAACATGCTTTCAGAAATATTTCAAAATGTTGCATTGTATGGTATAAACTGCCAGTATGCTTTCAAAACTATTCCTCTAGTAAAATTTCATAAAGATGGCCTGCTCTTAGGATATTTTTTTCAATAAGTAGGAATCTAATGTCCATTTTGAGAAGAAAAAATATCCAAATTGTTGGATATCCAACATATGTTGGTGATGATGATGTGAGAGGTTCAGAGGACGGCTCTTAACAAATCTTTCCCCTGTATTTGAAGGGGCAGGAGTGGCCGGGTGGTTAAGGTGTCTGATCATCTATTATCAAGAGTTCTCCACCACAGGGTCACAGTGACTGGGTGGTTAAGGCATCTGACCATCTATTATCACGAGTACTCCACCACAGGGTCACAGTGACTGGGTGGTTAAGGCGTCTGACCATCTATTATCACGAGTCCTCCACCACAGGGTCACAGTGACTGGGTGGTTAAGGCGTCTGACCATCTATTATCAAGATTCCTCCACCACAGGGTCATGGGTTCGAAGCCTGCATAGGGCAGTCCCCAGGTCACTAGCCACAGGTGGGGTATGCTTTTTAACTGGGCACCCAAGTTTTCCCCCACCAACAAAACCTTCCACAGCCATAAATGACCATAGCTGTTGATAGGATGTAAACACCAACAAACCCTACCCCTGGAGTTGTTATATTTGGACATCACAATGACATAAGTGGCTCACTGCTAAGCTTTACAATAATAACTGGTTTATGATTGTTCTACATCACCACAAGGATCTCCATTTTTGATTTTTTTAAATGAAAAAACAAGTTCTTTAATTGGTATATTTTTTTGCAAATAAGTTACCTTTTAAGCTTATTTGAAATTTGTTCATGGATTCTGACTTCCATGTAATCTTCTAAATAGATTTGAAAAAAGATTGTAGATTGTTTTTTCATCTACATATAAACACAATGAATAATTGCCTTGTATTGGCGCTTTTAGATTTATGCAAAATGTCAGAAGATGTCTGTCTGGAAAATTGTTCTTTAGAAAACTAATAAAAAGAAAGACAAATTGTCTACACAGTGAACAAGGATACAAGTGTATTTTACCAACCTCGGTACCCTCAAACTATCATTATGGACCCAAATTCTAATTGTTCCAGACCAGTTTACTTCACTCTAGGGGAAAAGAAAAGTTTATGAAGTCTTGTCTGATGATCCTTCTGACAGATAGATTAATGGACCAAAAAACGAATAACAGAAAACTATTTATCATGTCATTTTTTACTGTCTTGAAAATATTGTTAACATAACATCTCAACTTACGAATATTTTGAAGTTGTAATTAGTGAAGGAATCGTTCAGCATGGATGTCCCTGTCTATTAAGCCTAACACATGTAATTTTGTTACTTTGTTGAAAGTTTAGAAACAGGCCTTAGTGGTAGTAATAAAGGAACTTCACTCAATTTGTGCTAGGTTTCTTTACATGATTGAGGATCGCAAGAGCTGAAAAATGTACTTTCTGTAGGGACAAGAATGTGAAACTATGAACAATATTTCAGAAATATAGGATTTTTTTGTGAGGGTAGTTTTATCACTTACTGCATATAGGTATGGCTTTATTTTCATCTTGTACCCAAAAAGTATCATAAGTTGATAATGTTTTTCAGAAAATAATTACTTTTTGAGATTTTTCCTTTTACATACAGTTTTGTGTCCAGTCTTCTGTTAATAGTGCCACAATTAAACAAGGATAAATAATCCTCTTAACAATAAAATCTTAGAAATGTTTCCCTTCTTAGGAAGGGTGTCTGAGGTCCTTTAATACATAGATAAGTCCATGCCTCCTCACAATAATGTAATATGGTGATAGATAAACCTGTTTAAACTGAATTCTGTATAGTCTGACATCCTGTCTAATTCAAAATAATGTTGTAATCCTTTCTCTTATGATAAGTTTCAAATAAGACCTTTGATAAACATGCTGTGTCACAGGTGCTGTCAGATTGTAATTTGACAGATATGTTGTATCCCACAGTTTGTCCTATTATAGACAGGTTGATCATACCAACAGGTTGTGTCTGACAGGGTGTCAGATTAGACAGGTTAGTCTGACCAATATGTTGTGTCCCACAGGGTGTCAGGTTAGACAGGTAAGTCTGACCAATATGTTGTGTCCCACAGGGTGTCAGATTGACAGGTTAGTCTGACTAATATGTTGTGTTGCACAGGGTATTAGATTAGACAGGTTTATGTGATCATTTTGGTGAGTTCCTTTTTGTGTCAGATTCAACAGGTTGTTTTTACCAAATGCTGTCTCAGATTGTGTCGGATTAGATAGGAAAATCTAACATATTCCGAGTCCAAGAGGGTGTCAGATTGGACAGGATTTACTGTACATACTTCACTACCACAACCTGTTAACACTTGTGTTCAGTACACCATACATTCTAAGAATTTGTCTCTAGCTATTTAATGTCTCATTTGTGGTCAGTGTCTACATAGGTGGCTATTTTTTGTATATTTTTTGTATTGTGTCAATTTATGCAAAACTTTGCGACAATGAAGGACTTTTTGTTAATTTTTCTTTAAGATAGGTTAGTTGTGGATCAGTCCAGTTTCAGCATGGCTATAAGCTAGCGTGTATTGATTATACGATTACGATAAGGGAGAAGGAGTCGTGCTGGGGAGACGTATGGAGGGGAACGTAAAGCAGTGACAACACATTTTTTACAGACATTGCTATTGGATTTTGTTGTGATTTTTCTATTGAATGTTAAACAGATGTATATGTCTTTACGCATGAAAAACAGCGCTTGGGTTCATTCATGTTCCTCCAGAGTTGTTTATCCTCCTAATTTTGGCATTGTGTCATCTTTTCCCCTATTGAAACAATTTGCCGTCAACAGCAGCCATTGTTGATGTATTTCTTCAGCAAATTGACAGTATAGCCGTATTGTAAGTGTGACAGTAACTGTCGCTGTCTGCCATCTTGTTTTGTCATGTCCTTATAAGATTACGCTATATTTTCAGGAAGGCAATACAAATTTTGAAATAAATAATGAATGAGTTTCCTTTAAAACAATGTACCGGGCAGTGTTCTACTAGTGTAGTGCTGATGGCGTATAATGTGGTATCGAAGCTGAAACTGTTACAACATTGTCTAAATTGATGTTAGAACATTTTCTTTTTGAAAATCTATGCAGTACGTGGAATATTAACTGTAAGACGGATTTCTATTGAATTATTTATTGTCAGAATGAAAACGGTAACAGCTGGAACGGCGGAAACAGTACACAACTACCTGTCATGGTAAATTTAAAAGTGACCACTTGATTTGTTATCAGACAATTTGTATTGGCATTGATTGTGTATACATATTGAAAGAAACATTGAATTGTATTGATTTCTGTGTAAATGTCCAAGGAGCTGTGATTTTATGTTGTGTTGACCTTATACTCACAGCTAACACAGACGGTACTCATGTGTTGCTGGTGTACTGTGTGCCCTTGGTACTACTATAATACTCTGGTACTCGCTATACTTGTGTACTATCATAATTTAAAAATTCAGATTAAATGCTTAATTAATATTGTATATATTTAACTATCATCATTGTACTATATTCAGATCCGATACTCAAACTATACAAATATGTATATATTATTTTATCAGATTCAGATCTGGTACTCACTCTATTATTATGCCCCATACTAACGTTACTGACCTTGGTTACACCCTAGATATACCCTTATAGTATATATACTCACCATATACAATCCTTATATCCTCTAATACTAACTAAACAAGACATAGCAGTATTAACTCACTATAATATACTCATGGTATGATACTCAGATTTATATATATAAATGTGGTCATATATGATAGTCTGACTGAAATACGCTGTACTCAAATTCATGTATATTCTTGGTATTCAGATTTACGTATATGGTAGGATATTCAGATTTCTGTGTATATACTACATACATAGTTAATATTTATGTATGGTGACGGGTATTCAGTAAGATACTCACCACTGGCATCAGAAGGAATTGACAACAGAAGCCGATGAGTAGGGACACCGGGTATTTGAGCTGACGTTTTAGACTCTCCGTGTCGGTAACACATCCAATTCCAAAACTGATTAGTATGGCCACCGCAGCGGCTGAACAATCAAAAACAAAGTCGGCTGTTTTTTCCGCCCGTACAGTGGCCATGGCGAGTTTGGCATGGGACAAGGCCTTGTATACCCCCTCCCTGGCTGTCTGCTCACTGTCGAGGTCTAGAAGCGTAACAGACATAGTCACATAGCCTATATGCATTGCCTCTATGGTGAAATTATACTCCTCATTGAGCCGAATATGCATACGAATTTTGTCATGAAGATAATCACTGTTGTCGTAGAAATTGATTCGTTTCTTATTTTTGTCCCATTTGTACAGCTTGGCCACTTTGCCATTGCTGGTTTCTATGACAGCCTGGTACCTGCGTCTTGTTACAGGGGTGCTGCCATGGCCATCAGTGGCAGTGTTCTGGACAGAGGCCGCCTGGTGTGGTGGCAGTGTAGACCCGTTGTTCGTCGTACTGGTATTAGCATTATTATTATCATCATATTGACGTGTCGTCGCACTCCGGCCTGATATTGTAGTACAGTTGAAGATGATGGTCTGATTAGAATTCACTCGCAGTTCATTGATTGATGGTGGGTTAAGGAAGATCTGGAAGGTTTCATTGACAGCAGGAGGGGAGAGGCTGGCCGCCGGAGTTGGGGACACATCGAGGAATGACGGTTGTGACTGGAATGTGTTTGTTGTAGAATTGCTTGGACTCTTCAATGCAGCCGATGCAGGCAGCAAGGTGGAAAACAGAGAAAAGGATGTCTGAGAGGTCATTGTGTTAAGCGACGACACATTGGAAGGGGACACTGACATTTGCTTTGCTGCCTGTATGCTTGACAGATTAGACTGTGATTTTTTGGTCTCTGGGAGGGACTCTTTTTCACCCCCAACCCCACTGTCTCCGACCCCCAGGGGTTTGGGTGTGACCCCAGTGATACTGGGGCTTGCATTGACTAAATTTGGAAGATTAGGGATAATGAGTGCGGTGTGGACTAGCGCTATGATAGTCAGACGTTTAGTCGACATTTCCACACTGATGGCTGACGGTCACAGATTGACTAACGTCTGGTCCTCTGTATCGGTGCTGCTGCGGCTGCTGGGAACCCGCTCCACTAACTCCAATTAGGACTTGTCTACACACCCTGTGTTACTCCCTGTCAACTCACATCAATAATGACCAGTTTTAATCTCTCCCACGGGAGAGCTCCGTACTCAATTCAATACCACCAGTAACAGGGAATTACATGTAGTGGGAAGTCATGTCAGAATCTGTATTATCTCCCTTTAGTGATCGGTGATAAGATCAGTCATTGGCACTACGTATAACTGTCGTATAATAAATAAAATTACACGCGCAGACTTAGGGAATGTCGTAATGTATCCTCTGGTTATCGGTAACAATGTATAATCAATTTATTTATAAGCACTTGTCGGACAGAGGAAGGAATTAACTGGCAGGGTTCCGACACTGTTACACTCAATTATTGACTTGACACAAACTGTTTATCCTCGTAAGTAACTCGTTGGTCGTTAATTCCCAAGATTGCATTAATTTCATTTCTCCACCAGTGGTGGCGTTGTATTGCTTTTGCTATAACAGAGGTATGACCACCATTATCACAAGATATCACAGAAATACAAACAGCATCACATTACTTTTCAACTTTGCATAATTAATCCATGATATCATATACACAATAATTATATATATTGGTTTATATTTTACACAAACACTTGTAAATATTCCTTTTACGAATAGAACTTGGTGGCTACTCCATTCATTTTAATCCACAGAAGAGTCTTGATCATGCACACTCTATTTCCGTCAGAGATATGAAGATTTCTGAATTTTGCCCCAATACATCAAAAGTAATTTCCTTGAAATATGTCGCCCTGTTTTGATTAGTAAATCATTAATTTGCTGTAAGTGCAAACGTTCCAGAGAAAAAAAGTGTTACAATCAGTGGAAGTGATTCTGGCCTACAGCAAATTGAAAATTATTGTCAATTAATTATTAAGAAACACATCCGAGGTACATGCTCCCACCACACTGATATTCCTCGAGAAAGTTGTAGGACTCCTTGTACCTGGTCAAATAACAATGAGGAGAAATGAATGGACTCCTTTTATTAAACAGCTTTTCTATTCCATACATCTCCCCTGGGCTAAAATCTTGCCTCACACCTACCTTTAATCATTTTGTACACATAAAGTTATTCCTTTCCATTATGAGGGCAATTCCTTTTAAATCACACACATTGGATCATTTGTTTGCATTTCTGTTGATGTATAACATTATTTCCGTGTTCGTAGCTGTTTTTGACCTTGTCGGTTCACATGTTGGCGATGTCCTGTGGTCCATTGAGACGTATATGTGTTTGAGTGTTCTTATAACTTCACAGTCTCAAACCCACCTGACGTAAATTCTCCGACTCCGGGCAGGGTCTACAACGAAACAAAGTTACAGTTATAAGGATCTTTGTAGAACTTCTTATCCCACAGTACAACACTAGCTCGACACTTTAAACGGTTTTGCAAGAGATAAATACACTGCTATACATAATTGTTTAAAATGTTGAAGGTGAATTAGCTGCCGATAACCTTCTATCTCATTAATGTTAAATAGGTACCTCTGAGGTTTTGTGTTTGTATTATTGATTCCTGTGTGATCTCAATGGGGAACTTGTCTTCAGGGTTGTATTAGTAACAGCATTGTCTCAGTCTATCAAACACAGGCATACAGCGGTCACTTAAGGAGAAATGCTACCTAGCTTAGACGTTATACCTACAATTTATGTAAGAATTATCTCCCTTTAAACTCTTTATTTAAAGTTATTGAGCAATTGGAAAATGCATTTTAGTTTACTGATTTGATGGTGTATCACATTACATTGAGATGATGGTATATATCGTTTACTGATTTGATGGTGTATCACATTACATTGGGATGATGGTATATATCATTTACTGATTTGATGGTGTATCACATTACATTGAGATGACGGTATATATTGTTTCAATGGACCTTCACATTGTGAAGTTTACACTTTGTCAATGTTGTCATCCAAAAGATATAATTACACAACATTTAAGTGAGTGTCCAATTTCTGGGCCACACACCCTTCAAACTTCTATACAGAAAGGAGAGTGGTCCAAGTCTGACAAACAGTGGAACTCTTCTTTGCGATTATAACTGATGCAGTGATACCCTTTCCCTTAAGTGTTTACTGTGTCTGCTCCACCTTAACTGTTTTATAAACAGTTGTTGTAAAAGATTCCACTTTCTCAACACAGTATGATTTCCTCCAAGTAGGAGGTCCCATTGCCCTACTGTAACCATTATCTATCTAGATGTGGAATTGCTGTGATCCCTGTGATCCAATTCTAACATGAACTTTTATTTATCAATATCATGCTGCCACAAAATACCACTTTTGAATTATCAGATACAGCCAAAATCTACATGAAATCAAACATTTTCCAAGAACACAGTTCATTTTTAGGTATCTTCATTACCAAACACCAGGATTTTCTTCTTTTCAATTATCTTTAGAAAATTAAATTAATTTAATATATATATTTTCTTGCCTGCACTTACAATTTGCAAATTTGTGTTTAAATCCTGGTCTTCTGAATGTCAGACTTTGAGTCATCTTAGTTCTCTAGATAATATATAGGCCATGTATGAAAAATAATCAGTACAGTATATCACACACTTGTTTCCAATATCTATCGGTGACAAACATTCCTACGACCCTGACTCTGTATACCTTCCCTTCTCAGACACTCTGGTGTATGAGGTTGGTAGATGTGGCCTTGATCACAAACACATTATAAAGTCTTCTCCCTGACCTATAAACGGTAGATAGGGGTTGATAGATCCTCCGTCTGGCTGGTACATATACCAATCATTAGCATGATCTGAGAATACATTTTTTTTCTTTCTTATGTTCCAGTGTTTTATCAGGATGTTAGGCATTCCTTTCTGTCTAGTTCCGTAGTCTACTTCACACTACTTCACATTCAAAGGCTACTTATACTACTATACTTCTACAATGTAACTGTACCGACCATGTACCTACAGCTACGTATACCAATAACTCTGTTACAACTCGCCTACACCAACCAATCCGAGTACTTCAGATCTAGCTCCTATGTGGTATTGTCACCTTTCATTCAGATTGCTATTCTTGAATTCTGACCTTATTTGAAATAATCACTTCAAAATGAGTCATACTCAAATCTTCAATAAGATTCATCAGTTTGGAAAATATGTAATATCAAAGTTTTATTTTCTTCACAAACAATACATTCAATACGTACATTGTTTGTTTAGAATGTAAAACTTTTATATTAGACTCATAGGTACTTAATATCTGAAATAAACACTTCTGAAGGAATTGGATCCCACCAGAAATAAACACTTCCGAAGGAATTGGATCCAACTAGAAATAAACACTTCCATGGGTTTCTGACATGAAATTTATGCTTCCGAAAGAATTGGGTCTTGCTTAAAAATAAAATACAGTAAATTTGGCAATCTAAATATAGACCTATATGATAATCTATGTACACATGTATAATGTTTTCGCACTGATTTACTCGACAAGAAATACTGTAATATTTCCACACTGTGATTATTCCCACTCTTACGTTAAACTCTTCCATGGGAATTGGACTTCCAAAAGAATCAGACCTTACCTGAAATTAACATTTCCAATAGAATCGTTCCTTAAACCTGAAATGAACACTTCCAAAAGAAATCGGATCATTCCTGAAACGTTTTCAAAGGAATCGAACCTTACCTGAGCTTCCCCTTAGAAAGCATTAATTCTTACTCAATACATCAGGAATACAATCTCCCATACTACCTTTGTAATGACGTACATGTACATGTCTATAACCATAATACCCACCTTAAATAAACTTCAAAGGCTCCGTCTTTATAACAATAGCGAGCATTAAGCCTCCCCCACACTTAAGTCTCTGTGTACTGATGCTCATTGCTGTACCTGGCAGTTAACAAGGCTACTATACTGCTAACGATGTTACTACACCTTGGCCAGGTATTACAGGTAGATATTGATGCATACCTATACACTGCACCTTAGCATTCAGATACCTTTGAACCTAACAAGCCCAATCCATAAACCTGACAATCATTTGTCTATAAAATCAAATCTTTTGTAACATATCTCAGCATTAATAACAACCTAATCACCTTTTCCCACGAAATGCTAATTGTGACATTGAGATTATATATTTAGACCGTTTCTAATATTTATAGAATGTGGGGCTAATAGTAATGATAAAAGCTACTACATGTATTCCGTGTCTAATTGGCTTTTACATCATCTTACATATGTGAAACTTAGAGAGAAAATTTCATTTTGTAGTCACAGTATACTGTTAGGTGATATTTTAAAGTCTTAAATGAAGCCTGCTCAATTCTATTGTTGTATTCTTGTCTTGTTACAGAATTCATGTGTCATGTGCTTGTCTTAAATAAATCCAACCAGTTCTGTTGAAATTCAACTTGTAAGGTGAAGATTCATGAGAATTTTTTAACCTAACAAATCGTTTAAGCACACATCATCTCTCTAGTTAATAAAATTATCTTCATCATTTGACTAAAGAATGATTATTTTGAATTCTTAAATATAAAAAAAATCTGAGAAAAATAGACGATGATAACTTTTTTGGCATTGGGCAAGTTACAATTAGAAAATGATTTGGACTTCAATTTTAAGCCTACATTTGGTTGTGATCAAGGCCAAACCAAAAAAATGATCGTCACTTTAATTCTCTATTAATAAAATTAGGTCAATTGGAGATTGATTTTAGCTCAACTTCATGCAGAGTGAAAGTGTTGGTCACAATAGAGGCAGGTGTCTGATCAGAACTTTAACCAGACTAATTGAAAATAAAAAAATAAATCCCTTCTTCCCTAAGCTGCCCGTGGTGACAATGATACCACCAACTATGTACTATACCTAAAAAGCCAGTACTGGTTTGAACTACTGCTGTCAGCATGCTTTGATAAGGACAGATGTTTTGGGGAGAATGAAATGTCTTAAAATATTGAACCATAATTTATACTTCTCAAATTGAAAAACAAGATTTTGTTCCTGATGATGACACTGTAACTTTATACCTATATGTTGCTGCTGCTGTACTTTCTAAGAAAAAAGGTTCAGTGTGTTTCAGCTGTCTATAATAGTCCCTTCATGTTAAATAATATTGTCAATATGGTTAGTTTGAATGGTGAGTTTCAGGTAAAACCTCTTCAGGTAAAAACCTCCCAGTACAGAAACTGTTTACCTTAACTTTCCTAGAAAATAACTGTAGCTGTAATACTTCATGTTTAATCATAAAAGCGAAGCATTAAGTACCTTATAGATATCGATCAGGATTCCTGAGTGTAAATTATAGATTAAATGATTAGATGTTTTAGACAGACCTACCTGTGCCAGCGATGCAAATATCACCTGTATATAGTTGTCCAGGTAAATCATTTAGGTCTCCTTTAACGAGATTAAAAGTAAGCCAATCCTGGGCTGCACTAAGACACACCATGGTAAGACTATGGTAGAGACTGCTGGCCAAACCCAAGCTGTAATGGGGAACTCTCTCAGTCAGAGACTAGTACAAGTGGTAAATGTTCTCAAATTTTGTTTGCCAATATTGAATTATCCAACCACCATTCAAATCTCAGTCAACTTAACCTACAATTCAATATATTCTTTATTTATTTTCTTGGATGAAAATCTTCATTTGAGATAAATTTTGTATTAAATTTACTTTATAGGGTGTAAAAATGATAAAAATAGTTATCCAAATTTAAGAATAGCTGTAGTAATTATAAATAACAGGTTAATAGTTTGATGCCAGCAGGAGAGTGTTTTTCTGACCAGGTGTTTAAAATGCAGCACATCTCGAGGTAACACAGGTTGCCTGGACTTGTTCTAAAGGACACCCTTTCCACCAGGGGGCGCTGTTCTGATAACTCTCAGACACACTTCACAAACGACCTCTAACGCGATGATTAGGCACATATGGAACATTAATTACATACTTTTTGAGGGGAGGGAAAAAAACTGTTATAGAAACTGGAATCTTTAGGCTAACAGTATTTGTCAGCAAGATATCATCAAAGCAGAAGTGTGGACAAGGACGGCCAATGTTTATTTTGCCATGTGGCATATAATACTTAGTAGCGGGGTGAATTTACATTTTCTTCATCAGTCACAGACATTGAGGAGAATCTTTTTCATCTCCAGTCACTGAATCCCCCTCACTAACACACGCACCAGTCCTGAGCTTGTCTTTGTGAAAGAAAAGTTAGCTTTATATTTGAATCCCATCACCACACACAGTTCCTAAACTCATCTATGTAAATGACTTGTTAGCTTTATAGTTGAATCTCTTAGCGATTGTACACATAGGTTCTAAGCTTGACTTTGTAAATGATCCCTTCACACCACCTCTCACAGATCCTGAACTTGAATGATTTGATAGCACATACATGATTGGTTAACTTTATATTTTACACTCTTTATCACCACACACTGGCCCTGAGCTTGTCTTTTTACATGATTGGTTAGCTTTATATTTTACACTCTTTATCACCACACACTGGCCCTGAGCTTGACTTTTTACATGATTGGTTAGCTTTATATTTTACACTCTTTATCACCACACACTGGCCCTGAGCTTGACTTTTTACATGATTGGTTAGCTTTATATTTTACACTCTTTATCACCACACACTGGCCCTGAGCTTGTCTATGTAAATGATTGGTTAACTTTATATTTTACACTCTTTATCACCACACACTGGCCCTGAGCTTGTCTTTATACATGATTGGTTAACTTTATATTTAACACTCTTTATCACCACACACTTGCCCTGCGGTTGTCTTTATTCATGATTGGTTAACTTTGTATTTTACACTCTGCATCACCACACACTGGCCCTGCGGTTGTCTATGTAAATGATTGGTTAACTTTATATTGCACACTCTTTATCACCACACTCTGGCCCTGCGGTTGTCTATGTAAATGATTGGTTAACTTTACATTTTACGCTCTTTATCACCACACACTTGCCCTGCGGTTGTCTCTATTCATGATTGGTTAACTTTGTATTTTACACTCTGCACCACCTCGCACTGGCCCTGCGGTTGTCTATGTAAATGATCGGTTAACTTTATATTTTACACTCCTTATCACCACACACTGGCCCTGCGGTTGTCTATGTAAATGATCGGTTAACTTTATATTTTACTCTCTTTATCACCACACACTGGCCATGAGCTTGTCTTTATTCATGATTGGTTAACTTTATATTGCACACTCTTTATCACCACACACTGGGCATGAGCTTGTCTTTATACATGCTTGGTCAACTTTATATTTTACACTCTTTATCACCACACACTGGCCCTGCGGTTGTCTATGTAAATGATTGGTTAACTTTATATTTTACACTCTTTATCACCACACACTGGCCCTGAGCTTGTCTTTGTTAATGATTGGTTATCTTGAATGTGCTACATATTTTGATAAACTGCATAAAACTACACTAACTTTAGGCTATTTTTAATCAAAAAATTGAATATTGTTAATGATACTTGTAATAAAAATAGTATCTATTTTCTCCTTTATCATTTATCAAAAACGCAAATATCTCTCCCTAAATTGAGAAAATAAATTGACAGAAATATCAATAAATCGATGTTGTATGACTAATGTAAATGACAAAGAACTGTCTGGGTGGTCTGGTGGTGCAGTGGATAGCGCACTTGCCTTTCACCAAGGCGGCCGGGGTTGGATTCCCTGATCCGACGTGAAAAGGTTTATGCATGGTCACCTGCCCGACCATGTGGGTTTTCTCTAGGTGCTCTGGTTTCCTCCCATACTACGGTAAGACCCTGTGCGCTAAAAACTGGGCCAACAAGAGTGTTTAATATCAGTTGAAATAACTTCTTTCATAATTGATGTAAAATAAATAAATTTTATATAGAGAACTGTCTTGTAGTTTCAGCCTGGAGTTTGTCCTATTTTTCCTAGATCTGTGACAGAATACATGCAGTTTTTACTGTTTAAGTAAGAAAGTTTGTCATCAATTTAAAAAGTCAGAAGAAATAGAAAAACAGTTATTAGTTTGCCCATTCCAATTTATGGAAAATGCTTTGTGCGATTATAAGCATTAAAGAGTACTGTTCTCTCATTCCAACTACTAGAATAAGCTCAGAAACCATGAAAATGTGTTCGGACTGGCTACCATTTCGAAAATATCAACTTTTCCCCTGAGCTCATGGATATACAACACATTGTGGCATTGGAATTTTCCCCTGAGCTCATGGATATACAACACATTGTGGCATTGGACTTTTCCCCTGAGCTTATGGATATACAACACATTGTGGCATTGGACTTTTCCCCTGAGCTCCGGGATATACAACACATTGTGGCATTGGACTTTTGCCCTGAGCTCAGGGATATACAACACATTGTGGCATCGGACTTTTCCCCAGAGCTCAGGGATATACAACACATTGTGGCATTGGACTTTTGCCCTGAGCTCAGGGATATACAACACATTGTGGCATCGGACTTTTCCCCTGAGCTCAGGGATATACAACACATTATGGCATTGGACTTTTCCCCTGGGCTCAGGGATATACAACACATTGTGGCATTGGACTTTTGCCCTGAGCTCAGGGATATACAACACATTGTGGCATCGGACTTTTCCCCTGAGCTCGGGGATATACAACACATTGTGGCATTGGACTTTTGCCCTGAGCTCAGGGATATACAACACATTGTGGCATTGGACTTCTCCCCTGAGCTCAGGGATATACAACACATTGTGGCATTGGACTTCTCCCCTGAGCTCAGGGATATACAACACATTGTGACATTGGACTTTTCCCCTGAGCTCAGGGATATACAACATATTGTGGCATTGGACTTTTCCCCTGAGCTCAGGGATATACAACATATTGTGGCATTGGACTTTTCCCCTGAGCTCAGGGATATACAATACATTGTGGCATCGGACTTTTCCCCTGAGCTCAGGGATATACAACACATTGTGGCATCGGACTTTTCCCCAGAGCTCAGGGATATACAACACATTGTGGCATTGGACTTTTCCAATTGGAGCTGTCACATCATTAGTGACCAATTGTGATGTCACGTCACATGAAACGGGGTGTAGGATAGAAATTTCTTACACCCCTTTCTTACCCTGGACAGCTCTATCATACACGCACGGAAATGAGAGAAAACAATCTATACATTTCTGTACGGGTTACGGACGCTGGAAGAGGCAGACCAAGGAAACAATTCTATTTGTTATTTATCAATATTTGTTGACTAGAAACCTTTAGAAACCTGGGATGTTTTGTATTGATATTATTTGTTTTATTTTTGTTGTTTGATAATGCTCCTTTTAATTAACTGCTTTTATCTTGCTCAGGCACAGGAAAAACAAAACTGTGGAAAAGCTCTTATATCAAAACATAGCAGCAGGGTCTATATGGATAATCATGGAAGTGTTTGGTGTATCTTGTGGCTTGACAGATCTGCCTCCTAACCATTGCAAAGGGAATAATTGTATGAAAATTAAAGAAGAATATACCACAGTTTGTTAGTATTGGAATTGGATCGTTATCAACTGTTTCAGCACTCCATACTAAACACTTTCATGAATATTGGATCAGCTCCATTTCAAAATGAATTTAAACCATTACACTGGAAATAAATTACTATTTTTGCAATCCTAATTCTATACAGTCTATTTATTTTTCAATTAATATATAATCCTCCTGTCATATTTCATGCAAAAAAGTTGCCCCATTCAAACAGGGAATCAAATAAAACTCCTGTGTACTGTTGTAATATTTAGGTCATTTATGCCACATTGTCAGTGTTAATTTTCCTCGGTAGCTGAATTTCATTGCAAAAATACCATTAGTGTTCCAAGACCTTCATTAGTGAGTCTCTTTAATAAGGCTATGTAACCATGCACGCCCGAAGGGATCTAGCTGTCACAGGTTTTTGTCGGCCGATTAATGCATAACTGGTGTACAAACAGCGTTGGATGAATGGTGGATAGTGTCACCTCTACGATCAAACAATTAAGGACAACTCTAGGGATGTTTTATGAATACTATGGTGTGAATCAATACCTATAACTCACACGTTTGGCGTACGCCTGTTCAGATCATAACATCAAATCACAGCTCTAACGATCTCCTGATCTCTTAGGACATGGCTGCACATCTATCCTTGTGGTTTATAGAAATGCTGATCAGACCTGTATTTTTGCTTTGCTTTCGTTAACTTGTACAGGTGTTTTATCATTCTGATGATCAGGTGATAAAAACTTCCTTGATTAGCGTGGAATAATTTAGATGGTTGTAACAGAGAACGACTACAATACACTTGATGTGTAAGATAATTATGGTGTCAGGAAACTTATCAACATACCGTGTAGTTTTTCCTTTTCTTAGTGTCTGATTTAAGGATGTATGCTACCTAATCTGTTTATATTAGAGTATCTCCCTTCTGTATGCATTCTTGTGT